CTTATTCTATACCAGAAATTATTTTTTAAACAATTCAAAAAACATGGGGATTTATTCAAGTCATTATTTAATATTAATTAATCAATCAAAAATTAATATTAGGTATAGAGTCAAATATATGCCTCTGTCTTACCAAAAAAAAAAAAAAAACCAGGCAAGCTGAGAGTAGTTGCATAAGCCTATAATCTCAGTGCCTCGAGAGGCTGAGGAGTAGGATCACAAGTTCAAAGCCAGCCTCAGCAACCTATCAAGGCTCTAAGCAACTCAGGGAGAGACCGTGTTTCTACATAAAATACAAAATATAGGCCTGGAGATGTGGCTCAGTGGTTGAGTTCCCCAGGGTTCCATCCGTGGTACCAAAAAAAAAAAAAAAGTTCTGAAATAATTGGATGAGGAAAGCATACAAATACAATAAATTTACAGAAACTAGAAATGTTACCTTGTGTATTTATTTTCTTTTGATTAAAGAATTCAGAAAGAACATTAAAATATTTTTAATGTTTAAAATGTAAAATAAAACTTTAACTCCACTGCCTTCAAGTCATAAATTAAAACCAATTCATTAAATGCTATCAAAAGTGTATTAACAAAGAACTTCACAGGTGGCTCTGTTCCCCAGGGCTAGCCCCAAAACAAACCAGCTACATCAATGCAGTCTTGATTTTTACCATTTGATTTGATTCAGTACAGTTCTGTACAGTTATTATTGCTGCAGTTTCTAGAACAAGAGGGGAACCCAATAAAACTGAGTTCAAGTGACTTGACATAAAAGGTAGCAAAAATGATTAGAAACAAATAGTTCACCATATTCCTAAAATAAGTTATAGAAAATTATCACAGGATTAAATAAATTAATGTCTCCAACTCTGCCAACGATCTTACTTTAAGGAAGGGAGAGAAGCTGTTCTGGACTCAGGTGTCTTTTAATTGTAGTTCTCATTAACTTTATTCTGTTTCATAATAACCAGGAACAGCACAGGTGTACTCCATGTGCCTGCAGCTCCCTTGTGAGGGTAGCTGCTGCTTCCTCTTCTAAAGTTACTGAACATGCCTCCTTACCACAAGCTATTCTACTAAATCTCAGTGGAACACAGTATATGCTTTCAAGAAACTAAAGGGAGAGAAAACAAGAAACTAAAGGGAGACAGGATAAGGGCTGCATTCAGAGCCCAAGGCAGAGAGACAGACCTGCTCAATCCCCTCCCCCAACTCCTTGCTAACCCATTACAAGTTCATGATCAAAATTTTATGTCAAGTATTTCTGAAATAATACATTCATTCTCTTCAATTAAAGAAGTATTTCTCCCTCAAAGATAATCTGGAGGGTCTGAGGTGTTAAAACTGAGTGGGTTTTTTAAATAGTTAACCAAATAAAGAAGCTAAACTAGAGAAGGGCGTGGTAGCAATGGCGCAGGCCTGTAATTCCAGCGAAGTGGAAGTGGAAGCAGAAGCGTAGGTAGAGATCGGAGGATCATGAGTTCAAAGCCAGCCCTAGCAGCTTAGGGAGGCACTTGCAACTCTGTGAGACCCTGTCTCTAAATAAAATCTAAAAAAGGCTGGGATGTGGCTAGTGGTTAAGCATCCCTCAGTTCAACCCTGGGTACAAAAAAAAAAAAAAAACCAAGAAGCTAAAATAAAGATAGCTCATCTGAGAAATTCATTATAAACTTTCTCTTTGTTTCAACTTTCACCCATTCCTAGTTAATATTTAACTTAATATCCCCAATTTTTTAAACTTTTCTTGGAGGAACTTTGATCCTTAACGATACATAACAAAATGACAGACCTCCAGGGTCAGATGTCAGAAACAGTAAAAACTCGGTTACAGGTAGCATCAGGTCCCCAGATGAGGACCTGAACAACAAATTCTGCTGTTCAGGAAATTCTTTCTATCAGCTCTCCACACTATTTGACCTTCACAGCACTGAAAAAGAGCTCTTTATGTTGGTGCAGTTGAGTGGATCCATCTAGCAGTGGGCTCTGCCAGGGCTCAGGGATTTATGTACAAACAGTGACAAGTCTACAGAAACCCAGATTACGAACTTAAAATATAGCACAATAATAAAACATGCACAAAAAAATAATTCTTCCTAGGGAAAGATTTAAATTACAACAGATTTCCTGACAGGCATGGTGGCATATGCCTATAATCCTGGAGACTGAGGCAGGAGGATCTCGAGTTCAAACCCAGCCTCCACAACTTATCGAGGTCCTAAGCATTTGGTAAGACCCTGATATACAGATATCCAATATAGAAAGGACACATAGGGGCTGGGGATGTAGCTCAGTCGGCTGAGTGCTTGCTTCGCATGCACAAGGTCCTTGGTTCAATCCCCAACACCACAAAAAAAAAAAAAAAAAAGAAAAAAGCACCACAAAAAAAAAGAAAAAGAAAGGACACATAAATCATCTTAGGTTGCAGGTCAGAGGATGAATGACATAACACAGTTTTTCTTTCAAAGCTCTAACTCAGGGGAAGGGGGAAATGCTGGGGACTGAATCAGAGCAAATTATATTCCATGCTTTTGTGATTATGTCAAAATGTATCCTAATGTCATATATAAGTAAAAATAATCAATAAAAATTTAAATTAAATAAAATTTTTAAAAACCTTATTGAAAAAATTTTTAAAAGTTCTAACTATGGATCTATGGGTTCAAATAGGCAATATAGTACTCAGTACCTTAGAACACCCCTATGGCCCCAAGCATTCATTTATACCTCCAGTTCTTAAATCACAATCTCTTTTTTGGGGTACTGGGGACTGAACTCAGGGGCACTAGGCCACTGAGCCACATCCCCAGCTCTATTTTGTATTTTATTTAAAGACAGGTTCTCACTAAGTTGCTTAGCACCTCACCATTGGAAAGGCTGGCTTTGAACTTGCGATTCCCCTGTCTAGGCCTCCTGAGCCTCTGGGACTACAGGCGTGCACCACCACACCCAGCTACCACCATGATCTTTTCAGGATGTTATTTGGCATCTATAAGAATAAGAAAAAATGAGGTTTTTGTTTTTGGTACTAAGGATTAAACCCAGGGGCACTTAACCACAATGTGATCCACATTCTCAGCCTTTTTTTACATTTTATTTAAAGACAAGTTTTCTCTGAGTTGCTGAGGCTGGCTCTGAATGCTCAATCCTCCTGCCTCAGCCTCCTGAGCTGCTGGGATTACCCAAGTACACCAAAGCACCTAGCCAAAGATGAGTATTTTCAAACACAACTAAACCAAAGACCACGTCTGCCTTTCTTCAATGGTCTAGGCCACCATAAGCTCCTCACTAGATAAAGACAGCCTACATGTACTCTTGTCTCCCATGACCCACACTTCTAAATTCATTCTTCTCATGGAAGTTAGTGTGATCATTTCAAAATAATGTCACAAAAACAGCAGAAGAAATAAATAAGCAATCACCATACCTTCCTCTCCCACTTAAAGTGTGGCAATGCTTCTGACTGCTCTTAAAATAAAACTTCTTATGCATTTGTGAAGCTGGACAAGCCCAATACCATCTGGCCTCTTTGTACCATACTTATTATGTCCCTCTTCCCCATGAGTGCCAATTCCACTGACTGCCTTCCTAATCCTTCCATGCATGAAGTTCAGGCCAGCCTCCTGGCCTCTGGACTTAGTATTCTTTCTGTCACTGTATCTTGAGAAGGCTGGTTTCTTTATTTCCTTTGGGTCTTGGCTTAAATGTCCCTATCTCATCACCCTAAAAATCCTACCATCAGATAATAAGCTCCATGAAGGTGGGGTCTTGATCAGTTCTGGCCCCTCATGGCCCCGACACACACACACACACACACACACACACACACACAAACACACACACACACACCCTGCCACAGTGCCACGTACATATTGACACTCTTCACATCTGATAAATACTAAAAAGAAAAAAGAATAGAAAAATCCATAGAGACAAAGTAGATTGTGGTTGCCTCATGCTGGGTGGTTAGAAGGAAACAGGAAATGACTGTTCAATGGGTACAGTTTCTTTTTGGGATGATGAAAATCTTCTGGGATTCAATAGTGGTGATAGCTATGTAACTATGGAAATACTAGAAACCACTGAAACACAAATTTAAGTGGGTAAATTATCTAGTATATAAATTATATCTCAATAAATCTGCTATATCAAAAAAATAAAATGAGGTTGGGCACAATGGGACACACATGTAACCCCAGCTACTCCAGAGACTGGGGCAGAAGGATCAAAAGTTTAAAGCCAGCCTGGCAACTTAAGTGAGACCCTATCTCAAAATAATATTTTCTTAAAAAAGATTGGGGATGCAGCTCAGTGGTAGAGCACTTGCCCAGAATATGAAAGGCCCTGGGTTCAATCCCAAGTACCATAAAAACTAATTAATTAATTTAATTAAAAACAAAGAAAAAATGGAAGGAACAAAGCAAGAATGGGAGAGGGGATGGAGAGTATTGATGAAGTTTCAGGTTAATCATTGTTCTTGGTCTGACATGGTGGTGCACACCTATAACCCCAGCAGCTTGGGAAGCTGAGGTAGGAGGATAGTGAGTTCAAAGCCAGCCTTGGCAACTTAGCAAGAATCTAAGCAACTCAGCAAAAACCTGTCTCTAAATAAAAAATATTTTAAAAGGCTGGGGATGTGGTTCAGTGGTTAAGTACCCCCTGGGTTAAATTCCAAGTATCAAAAAAAAAAAAAAATGTATTCTATGAGAAACTGATGAAAACCATGAACATTGTCACACCTCTGAAAACCTGTACGGGATATCTGGTTTCTATAGGCCACCCTGATTTTAAAAGAAAAAAGAAGAAGCTTTAGAACATAGTATAAATAGTTGAAAAAAAAAAATAAGTTAATTATTTATCTTTCAAGTGCTCCACATGGATTAACAAAAACGAAGATATTACAAATACCTTCCTTAGGAAGAAACAACGGCCCACATCGTGAAGATTAAGAACACAATTTAAAGGCCAAGTGATCCTTTCTCGTGCCAGGATCTGAGCATAATCACCTTTGCAAGACCTGCCCGGTGGGCTCCTTTAGACTCCATGTATGCAAGATATTTGTTGAACTCCCGGAACTCCTCCATGGAGGGTCTGAAGGTCATTATTTTACAGCTGGGATTCAGAGGACTGTCTGCCTCCACCACCTCCATGATGGCTAGGGCAGTCTCTGCAGAGAGAAGGACACAGTCATTGGCACTGTATTATGTGTGTTAAGGTCAGTGGTATTTTTCTCCCAAATAAAATGTAGGCACCCTCAGCAGGAACTTTGCTCTTTTAGATATTTCCACTCTATTCCACCCTCTTATAGGGACTCATACATTTCTCCCTGGGCCCTGGGAAAAAGAAAAGATAAAAAAAAAAAAAAAAATAGTTTCTAGTCTCCTCTTGCCAAGTTCCTATTCTTGGCACTGAATCACTGAACTGTACTGCTGGCCTCTCAAAATCCTTCCAAGTAAAAATGAATTTTCTAACCCTGTAGGTTCACATAAGGTGTTGTTCTGAAAGACTCCCTCATACTCATATGTACACATGTATAAAAGTTTCATCTAGGTTGAGTGGAGGATATTCACCATCCCTAGCACAACTTGACTCACATGTCCTTCCAGCTTGTCATAACAAGCTTTTCTATAATAATGTACACATCAATCGTTCAACAAAACCACCAGGCCACATGCTTAAGTACTAGAAAGAGAGAAATGGGTAAACTCTTTACCTTCCAAGTTCACCGTCCAGAAACTGAACAAAAAAAAATTTTTTTAAGTATACAAGAAGAAGCAACTAAGTTCACCTAGACTAATCAGAAATCACTTCCTCAGAAAGGAGCAGAGTTAAGACTTATAAGCAGATACAGCAGCTGATCAGATGACAGAATGAGCACTCCAGGTAGCAGAGAATCTAGAAATACTGCAGAATGGAGAGGAGTCTAGTGTGTCTGGAGCTTAGAAGCAAAAATTACAGAAGGGAGGTTTTTCTACAAAAACACCAACCTCATCTTGCTGCAGATAAATGAGATGATCCCTTCAACAATGTTCACTCAGTACGTAACATGTGCCAAGCATGGGGAATGCAAGTACATAAAAAGTACTGGTAATACTGGGATTGTAGTTCAGTGGTAAATAACTTGCCTTGCATGCGTGAGGCACTGGGTTTGAATCTCAGCACCACATAAAAATAAAGAAAGATACTGTGTCTATCTACAACTAAAAAAAAAAATTTAAACTAAAAACATAAAAAGCACTGGAGTGACGGTCTCAGTAAGGAATTCCACCCCAATCCACATGTAGGTTCAGTGATAGGATCTGGCATCTGACAGCACAAATCAAATCTTCTTGAAACAAGCTTTCTTTCCCCCGCCCCCGCTTTTTTTTTTCTTAATAAATTTAACTTCCTTGATAGATAGATTAAGAGGTGAAGGATGGGGCAGATAAAAGAGGAGGACATGTTCTGGGATAATAAGAGATGTAAAAAAGTAGTGAAGTGGTAACTATTTACTTAAAGAAAATTTAAGTGCACATGGCTGGGGATGTAGCTTGGTGATAGAACACTTGTATATGCCACGTGCTGGGTTTAATCCCTAGCAGAAAGGAAGGAAGGGAGTTTAAATGAGCCATCTATCTCACAATATTTGTAGTGAGGAGATACAGGAAACATAAAAATTAAACCCTGCCACCCTTTAGGAATTTACAATATAAAGGAGAAAAAATCTGCATGGAGATATATTAATAAATAGCAGAAAATATTTTGGATTCTCCTTCCCTCAGAAAGGAAACACACAAAAGAAAAAAATTGAGGTCCTCCCTACCCAATCTCCCTTTATATAAACATAGGCACACATATGCAAATCCATGACCTGTAGAATGAAACTCTCACTCTACACAGTAAGCATGTAATTATTTACAAGCAGCTGAATCTGGCCCTTGCGTAACTTTGCCTTGTCCACCGTCAGTGCCTACATCATAGTTGTCCCTCTGGATCCATAAGGGATTGGTTCTAGGACCTCTCCCCTATGATTTAAAAAAAAAAAAAGAGAGAGAGAGAGAGAGAGAGAGAGACATTAATTTGCTTCACTAGTAAAGAATATTAGAATAGAAATTCTGGTATACCAGAATCCTAGGATGCTCAAGTCCTTTATATAAAATGGCTTAGTATTTGCATATAACTCACACACAACCTCCTGTATACTTTAAGTCTTCAGATTACTTATAATACCTGATATAACACAAATGCTAAGTTAATAGTTTTTATACTGTACTGTTTAGGGAATAGTAAGAAGACATGTTCAATACAAAATTTTTTTCAAATATTTCTGATCTGCACTTGGTTGAATTCACTGAAGCACAGAGCACTCAGATACAAAGAGGCAACTATATTTTACACTCCAACAATACTCACTGACTTGTGCTTCTCTAACAAGTTAAAGCTCTCTGTGCCTCTGCCCATTTTCCCTCTCCTTGGAGTACCCTTTGCCTGCTTCCTCACCTGGCAAACTCTCACCCACCCTTGAAATTCCCAACACTCAGGCACTACCTGGATGAAACACTCATGGTCCAACCTCCCTCCTCTGCATCCTTCATTATAGCACTTGCCTCTCCCAACTGTTGGCAATTCCAACCACCCACTGAACTATCAGCTTTCAAGGGAAAGGCAGGTTCACCATCTCTTTGAACCCTGGCATATAGCTTGGCACCCAGCCTGGCTCACAAGGTCTGCTGCAATAATTATTTGCCAGCTGAATGATGGAAGAGGCACCTAAATGCTAAAGTATTTATATAAAATGATACCAAATTCAAAGAAAGGAAAGCATTAATCCCAAACACAGAAATGTTATTTAAAAAAAAAAAGAGAGATTCATTTGCTTAACTGGTAAAAATTATTAGAATAGAAAAATCTGAGCAGTAAGAAAAAGGAAGAAGCCCACAGAAACATTTGGTCCATGAAAAGTAGGGTTCCTTTCCCCCTGGCCAAAGTACATGAGTGGCCTGAGTATTCCTCAAGGCAGAAGAAGCTACTGACAAAGAAATTGGAAATTCATCCAGTCATTTGCCAAATAATTACTGAATGCCTAAATGCTGGGCAGTCAGTCAGTAAGTCCTCATTCTAATGGAGTGAAACAGACAATAAGTAAGTAGTAAATTCTGCGAGGAAAAAAAAAGGGGAGGGTTACTGTTTCACACAGAGGAGGCCAAAGACAGCATTTTAGAGAAAGTGAAATTCAGGAAAGGCCTGAAGAAGGGAATTAGTCATTCAAATATCTGGAAGAAGAGCATTTTCAACAGAGGCAACAGCAAGGAAGGAGAATTTGGGTGCTGTAAGAAATAGCAAGGATGCGGGAGAGCGCTCGCCTAGCACGGGTGGGACCCAGGTTCAATCCTCAGCACCACATAAAAATAAAGGTCTTGTGTTGTGTCCATCTACACCTAAAAAACAAATAAATAAATAAATAGCAAGGATGTGATATATACTGGGAACTCGGTAATCAAGAGTAAAAACAATGAGAGGAAAAAACGGGAGAGGAGTTTGGCAAGCTACCTTCAGTGGGATAAGAACCTTGGGCTTCTTCCCCTTTTATCTATCCAGTTCATGGAAATCAAACATGCATTTTTCTTTCAAGGAAATGACTGTTTTCTAAGGTAACTTCTAGAGGACCTGGAGCAGAAAAGTTTACTGGCTCACACTTAGTATTATTGTGACTGTTGTATAAAGAAGGACAATGACAGAAGCAAAGAGAGGAGCAAGTAGGTGATTGGGGACAATATAAAAAGGCAGCTTCAACCAGGGGTGGGCAATAAGAAGGGATCAGATTGCAGAATATGATATACTGTGAACAAAATTTCCTAACAGAAGTGAAAAGAACAGGAGTCAAGATTTCTGGTTTATGCAACAAATCAGTGGCTCTGACAAGAAAATGAAGCAGAGACTATTAAGACATTAAAAAATTGGTCTGGGGATGTGGCTCAAGCAGTAGTGCGCTCACCTGGCATGAATGCGGCCCGGGTTCGATCCTCAGCACCACATACAAACAAAGATGTTGTGTCTGCCAAAAACTAAACAATAAATATTAAAAAATTCTCTCTCTTTAAAAAAAAAAAAAAGACATTAAAAAATTAAATCTCAGCCCTTGACACAGTTTGCTAACTGGAGTAGAAAATATACTTTCTTTCTTCCTAGCATAACTACTCAACTATACAAAAATAGTTATGCCTACAAATCAGATAATCAGATTGATATGGTTTAGATGTGCGGGAGGTTGGGGGTTTTGTGGGGGAAGGGTAGCAGGGATTGAACACCATCCCAGCCCCCCTTTTATGTCTCATTTTAAGACAAATCTCACTTGTTGCTTATGGCCTCAATAAGTTGCTGAGGCTAGCTTTGAACTTGCAATCCTCCTGCCTCAGCCTCTCAAATCAGTGGGATTATAGGCATGCACCAACACACCACATTAGTTTTGGTCTTTGACCTTTGATTTGACCTTAGGTTTTTAAATTTTCCAATCTATAAAGTCAATATATGTTTATCATAAAATTTAAAACACATAAAGTTAAGTAAAATTTTAACCCCACTACCTAAAAAAAAAGTTTGATATTAAATTTGATGTTTTTGATTATTGGTAGCATTGATGATTTTTGGACACAAAACCATTTTCATTTCTTTTTTTGGGTTGACTATTTATGTTCATTACGAGAGAGAGAGGAGAGAGAATTTTTTTTTAGTATTTTATTTTTCAGTTTTTGGTGGACACAACATCTTTACTTTTATGTGGTGCTGAGGATCGAACCCAGCACCCCGCACATGCCAGGCGAGCGCCTTACGGCTTGAGCCACATCCCCAGCCCTATGTTCATTACTTTAAAAGGCAGTTTATAGGGGGCTGGGGTTGTGGCTCAGTGGTAGAGCACTTGCCTGGCATGTGTGAGGCCCTGGGTTCGATCCTCAGCACTGCATATAAATAAATAAAAAATCCATTTACAACTAAAAAAAAAAAAAAAAGTAGTTTAAAGGGCTGGGGTTGTAGCTCAGTGGTAGAATTCTTGCCTAGCATGTTTGAGACACTGGGTTTGATCCTCAGCGCCACATAAAAATTAATAAATAAATAAAGGTGTTGTGTCCATCTGCAACTAAAAAAAGAAAAATTTTTAAAAGCAGTTATGGGGCTGGGATTGTGGCTCAG